TTAGAAGCACTTAGTACTTCTTTGATTATAGTTATCACTACATTTTTTAGTTCAGAAATTATTTCTGATCTGATTTCTTCTACACCTTTCTGCAGTTGTTTCTTTACTACCAATGCTATTATTTCAGAGATATCTGGTGTGTGATTTCCAGTTTCCTCAGTGCTAGTGTCTTCTGCAACTGTACCGGGTGGACTCAGGGTCTGAGACTACATTTTGTTCTTTCTCTTTGTCATTTTGTATACCACTGTCTTCTGACCTTTGGTGTAGAGCTTAGATAGAGTTATTACCTTAGCACCAGGTCTGGATCTATGAAGCTCAGATTCCTCTCTGGCAAGATGTTCTGCTCCTGAATCAGCTGGGTGGGTCTTGCCTCTAGCCTCTTTGCAGGGAGTTCTGCTGAAGGGTTCCACGTTGGGCCTGCACTCTGGGTCGAATGAGGATCTGCGGGCCCTGGCAGTCTTACACACTGTGCCTGGGCTCTGGGTCTATTCAAAACTTATTTAAAAAATCACATTTTTTCATTAAAAAATGAACTCATATTAGTTTGGGTCCTTCAAGCAGTGGACAACAGGAAAGGATCTGACATGAAAGATATGTTGGGGGAATTGGCTAAAGCATCCATAGAGGAGAGTAAGGGGGGGCAGGAGACTTCACACAGCTGAGAGATCTACAGAAGACAGAGCAGTGAGGAGCGACTCCCAGACTCCAGCGCATGCAGCGCAGGAATATTCTGATCTGCCCACTGGGAAGGTTTTGTGCTAGTCACCTATCTGAGTATTCTGGGACCAGCTCCTTCCCATGTGGAATCATAGGCTGAGAACACGTGGGAGCCATGACTTTGCCCTGGGCTGGCAGTGGCAGTCACTCTGGACTCCTTGCAGCAGGACCTCCACATGGGTCTCCTTGCCCCAGCTATGACTGTGAGGAGACAGAGAAGGGAGTGAATAAAGACTCAGATCCTTGTCCTATATACTTGAGTTCCACCACCTGTGAAGCCACCCTGAACTTCTGAGGTCATAGTCAAGTCTGTAGGCCATTTAGAATAAATTTAATGAGCACCAACTCGGGCCCCATAGGGTAACTGCAGAGACAGAATCACCTGATCCCACCCATGTTCCTTTTGTACATTTATTTCTTCAAGACCTCAGATGAACTGCTGCCCAGAGCTGTGTGAAGAAGTAATCTGTGTGGTACAAAAGAGTGGACGGTGGTGGCCAAGAAAATGTAATCTTTTCTTACACTATTCACAGGTATGAATTCACTGCAAGAAAACACAGGAAAATTAAAAAGAAACCCAGAGTATAGGAAAGATCTAAGTACTATACATGGCCAAGAAGCCATATAAGATTGATGAATTCAACTGCATAAAACATTCTGCACTGACATAATCTTTATGCAAAGCTAAATGTCAAAAAACAAACAAAAAATTGGAATTCATACCACAACCCCCTGATTCCTTACTATGTGAAGAACTCTTAAATCAGTAAGGAAAATCAGCAGTAGTATCAGTCGTGACAGATGATAACTGAAAGCTCCAATATCTTTATGGCTTAAAAAGAAGTTTATTTTTCAGTGGTGCTTTGGATCCATAGTGGGTCACTTGGGCTGTTTTCTATCTTGTCTTCACTGCAGGACTAATGCTCATTAGCAGCTACTTCCAGAATCATTCTTGGTCCCTGCGTCACAGGGCAGGAGAAACCATGGGATCTTGTATAGGCAAATAGATACAGTCCTGAGAGGGGTCCTCTAGGTTCCTGTCCTTGGCCAGCCCGGCCCTGTGGCCTGTCCAAGCTGTGCAGGCCCAGGCCACACCAAGGTCTAGGTGCCCGGAAGGGAGCTCTGCCTCTGGTGAACAGCGAGGAGGCATGTTGTCAGCCCGTGGCCTACGGCTGCTTTGGTTTCCCTACTTACGGTCTTGTCAGGGAAAGACGATGGCAGATTTCATTACATTTCACGTGCTGGTTATTAAAGAAGTAGAAAATTCCTCTCTTTCCAAAATTGGTAGTGACATTTTTCTGATCAACAGAGTGAATTTGAGGGTCTGTGAGGTAGATGAGGCCTTTTCCATTACCAGTTACCCAACCTAAAACAAAACAAAACACCACAAAAAAACAGCTGAGAATTAAATTTCCTCACAAAGTCAGTCAAGTATTTCCAGAAAAGGAAACACACACACACACACACACACACACACACACACACACACACGTGCGCGTTCACACACACGCGCGCGCACACACACACGCACACAGTCTTGGAGATGTATTTTAGAAACTTGGCCATCTTATGGTTTATATATAATAAGCTTCTGCTAAGGAATTTGAGTTGGGTTTGTTTGTTGCTTGCTTTCTTTTTCTTTTTCTTTTCTCTCTTTCTTGCTTTCTTCCTTTCTGGTACTGGATATTGAATTCAGGGCCTTGCACTTAGCAGGTAGACACTTATGCCACTGAGCTGTATCCCTGGCCCTCATATTTTAGTTATTTGGTTTAAAAAGGAAAAGTGAATATTGTATAATTACATTTGTCAAATATGACATACCCAGATGATCAATTTTCAAGAAATAAGAGCAATGATGAGCATGTAGAATAACTATTAAAATCATAGTACTTTTTGTTGGGTTTAACTCCAGAACAAATACACAATAAATTTTTTTTTCACTCAAGAGGGTTTAAGTGATGTAGTTTTCTTATTATTGCATGCTTTCCACAGGACAAGATGTTCTTTGTATGCTTTCTTTTATGCAGTCTTTTATCATTATTAGAAGTATGGCATTTTTTCATGACTTTTTCATAAGCTCAGTGCCTTATGCATTAATATGTTCTCTTAGCAGATACTTATTGAGTGGGGATACAGTACCATACACTGCTGAAGGCACTGGGACATGGCAGAGGACACTCTGAGCTAACATTCTTATAAAGGGGACAGATCAACAAATTATGAATAAGTAAAGTAGATAACGTGACAGGATGAAAAATGAGATAGGTCTTGAAGTGGTCATAGAATCATTATTAAAAATAGTAAAAAACAGCTTGTCATTTACATGGAGTATAGAGTATTTGCTGGTAAGAATTCTGATGTACAAAATACCAAACAAAATTAAAATATTAATAGAGAATTTTTAAAAAGCAAGACTCAAATAGATACAGCTTTCAATTTCATAATGATTCCAACTTTGGATCTTGGTAGAATACTTTTTTTTGTGTGTGCTTATTTTTAAGACAAGTCTTGCTATGTGGCTCAGGCTGGCCTCAAGATTCATTATGTAGCCCAGACTGGCCTTGAACTTGTGGCAATCCTCATGCCTAAGTCCCTGGGGGCTGAAATTCTAGGCATGTGCTACCATGCCTGGTCACACTTTTAATAATGGCAAGGGCTGGGGAAAATAAAACATGCAGTGAAGATTTTGTCCTGTGGAAAATGCACTCAGAAGAAAGCTACATCACTCAAACCCTTGTGAGTGAAGGAAGAATATTTATTAGGTACTTGCTCTGGAATTAAGGCCAACAAAACATGAGACAGAGTTTAGATCTGACATCTTAGATACTTATTGAAGTTTTAGATATTGTTTTCCTTCAGGAATGATTAGTTCCATATGAAATGTGTTACAAAAAATATGGGGCAAATTTAAATTAAAGTTTATTATAGTAAAAGACATTATCATAATCTCCATGAAAATACTCTCCCTCCTTTTACCACTTATCCCATCATTCCTGGAACTTTCTGAAGTAGTTCTGGAGTCTTCTTTCATGAGGGTCTTTAGTGCTGCCGTGGCTGTCTTAATGTCCTGAATGGATTCCAAATGTTTGGCTTTGACCATCATTTTGAATTTGGAGAAGAGACAGGTTTTAGTGAACAAAGTAGGTGAGGGCACATTATCATGTTTTGTTTTTGGTCTTTTTGAGACAGGGTTTCACTATGCAGTTCAGGCTGGCTTTGAACTCAGACTGTAGCTCAGGCTGGCCTCGAACTCCTAGTGATCCTCCTGCTTTAGCTTCCCAAGTACTAGGGTTATAGGTGTGTACTATCACATCCAGAAATGTCATGTTTTTATGAATCAACCTTTGTGTTGGATGGAAGCTCAGCAGCATTCATATTTATTTATTTATTTATTTATTTATTTATTTATTTATTGGTCTGAATGCCTTCAGGGCAGATTTGGCTGGCTTGAGTTGTGGGGATCGAACCTCAGCAACCTGAGCCTGACTGCTTTGTTGAAGCAGCCACTTAAAGAACTGAGCTAAGGGGCAGGCCCCCCACATTTTTTAAAATCACACCTCATAAAGACCCTAAGGAGGACTTCTAGCACTGCTTCAGAAAATGTTCATAACATAGCCAGTGGAATGAGTATGTTCAAAGAGGAAGAGACTATTTTATGGAAGATTCTTGTCAGTATATCTTTTACCATAATGAATTTTTAAAAATTTAAACATTGACTATATGTTTTGATCATGCCCTGTATAATAAAGTCAATTCCAAATAGTGGCCTATATACTGAAATGGCTATTAAATAATGATTAATGAAGCCAGTTATGAGAATTTACATTCACATATAAGTAATACTAAAAAAAATTCCTAGTTTCACATACCTTGTAAATCAACCACAACATCTTTATGATTGGAAAATTCGTAAGAAAAATGACCATAAGCCAAACCATATTCTGTAGCTTGGTACTCTGTTTTCACCACTTTTGTGTTATTTGACAATTTTACAAATTCTCCCAGTATGTAAGGTTCCACACTGATACATCCCTTTATTATGTTGCCTTCTAAAATCTGGAAAATAGAATGGGAGGCAAGATAGCATAATTATTAGGGCACCGCCTCTGGGGCTGGGTGAGTCTGAGGTGGGATTGAGGCTACCTCATGTAGGAGCTTCATTCCTCTCCTCTAGATTTCAGCTTCCTGGCTTTCAGTGTGGGTCTTATGTCAGTAACAACTATTTTTAGATTAAAATAGGAGAAAGTGCAAGGGCAGTACTCAATTGTATACAGCATAAACAGAACCTAAAGTTATTATTGTTCATCCATTAAGCTGTCAATTTGAAGTTTAGACCCTGAGATGACCTACTTAGGGGACATACTGCCAGGGTGCATGGGTGGAGTGTGCCCATGGACTCCAGTTTGGAATGCCAGTTCAAGCATCTCTGTGTGACATGGTATACTTGGTAGAGTTGTTTCAAGAGTTAATGTTTATAAACTGCTTAACAATACAAGACATAAAGAAAATACAAATTGGATGATAGTTATTATTATGAATGATAAAAATAGGGAAAATGTCCTGGTCAATGGAAAAGATACTGTAGTATGAACTTACTAAGGCTCTACTATACTTGGAGCTGTAAGATATACTTGATCAAGGAAGGGGAAAGTCAGGATAGGGATATTTAGTGAAGAGAGATTGGTCTCAATAGTTCCAGAAGGCAGAGCAGTAATCCATGGGGAGGAGACAAAGGAAGATAGAGTTGGGTCAAAACTTAAGAATTTTCCAACAGTTAGAATCACTTGAGGACAGGAGGTGATAATTATTTATTCTTATTGACTGTGTTGAAGCCACAGTTTAGCATCACTTGGTCACAAGGAGTAGGGATAACAGATATAAAACAGGATTCACATATCACGTAGGGAAAACAACCTGCACTAGGTATGTCTTCACAGTCTTCTCTCTCTCTGCAAGTACAGAGGCAACAGAAAAACAAAGTCTGCTAAAATGTTAGCTTGACCACTAGTACCAGGTATATCAACCAGTGTTCAGATGTGACCTGGAAGACCTGAATGATGTGCTGTGGGGCAGCAGGTTGCACTTCTTGGACATCTAAGATGATGACATGTGACATGGATGGAGAGCCTGGCAACTGAGACCACTGGATTTTACCAGAACGATGAAGGAGGTAGACGGGTTGGTACTAGAATCTACCCTAACATATATTTCTAGGCTGCTTAACCAGACACTTGCTTCATCAGACCTTACCAGTAATATTGTGGACGGGATGTAGAATATCTGTGTTGGGATATTTTGCTCGTAGAGTCTCTTGTTAAACTCTGTCACATAGTGCTGGGCAGTCATCTGTCTTTCCACATCAGTGAAGTGATGCCAAAGCCCCTTCTGCTCTTTGTATTCTTTCCCAACATACCTATGATGGAGAGGACCGTGCAAGATGTAAGAGCCATCTTCTTCAGTACAGTTGGAAAGAGCGACTCTTGTCACTCACCATGTATTCCTAAGGTAACTAGATTATGGTGTGCTGTGTAGCAGGCTAGTCCATTGCTGAGGTGCTGCTGACTGTGCTGTTGGAGTCATGGGTCACTGGGTGGTGTGTCCCTGTCCCTAGTGCCTCCCTCTGGTTGCTGCTTCCTGGCTGCCATGGGTTGAGCAGCTTTCCTTCCTCAAGCCCCTTCTGCCTTGGAGTCAGTCAACTTTGGACTCTATTGAGACCATAAACTCAATAAACTTCTCCACTTTAAGTTGTGGCTGTTGGATTGTTCCAGCAATGGGAAAGTAGCTAATACCAGAGGAGATGAGAGATGCAAAAGTACTTGAAAGGTATTGCTTTCTCTGCCATCTCAATATTAAATATCTTGACTTGATGATTCAAATAATTTTCTAAGAGCTACCTGAACAGTGACATATAGCTTATTTTAGCCAACTCAGAATGATGTTGATAAGGAGAAAACATCCACTTCATGTGGCAGCTCTCAAGACCTATTCAGTAGGCCAAGGAGATAGTGAACATGTACGCGGCAGAGTACATCAACTCTGGGCTGGTTCTTTCACTACCTGCAGTATGGCCTTATGCCTGTCAACCCATCTGAGGCCTCCCCTCCATCCCTTCTTTGTAACAATTACTTTGTTCCTATGAGTATCTGCTCATTTCCTATCAGCACCTGTTACGTGCACAACGTGCTAGTCCTGAGTGTGTTGAAGAAAGTGTGAGATGTGATTTGTATATTTCAAGGGCTTACAGTACACTTGAAGGGAGAAGATACAAGTCAGAAAAGGACTATGAAAGACAGTAAATACTACACTGTGCTGAGCTTTATACTTGCTGTAAGCTGGTGGGAGTTTATGAGTGATTTCACACGTGCCTGGAAGGAAATGTGAATTGTCACAGTCCCATGCCTCAATGAGACTAAACTGTTTCCAGGACATAAGGGAATTGAAGGAGGCTCATTGTAGGCATTCAAACTCTTGAGGATCAGAAAGAAAATTTGACAGTGGAGGCAACAAAGGGGCAGTCCTCAGGGCATTAGGATGCAGCCCACAAAGGGACCACAGTCCTCAGAGTAATGGCGCAGTCCTTCTGACAATTCTGCTATGGAGAGATCCTGAGGCCTGCAGAAGTTTTGAGCCAATTCACAATTTTGCTACTGCTGTCAAGGCCAGCAACATGCACTTGTACTGAAGTTTTCCCTGAGGATTCTGCTAGAGGAACTCCTGCCCTAGGATCATCAGTGTGGGAACAGAAAGCGGTTTCTTCTTTCAATTAGTGCCATTTTCTGGGGGCCATTTTTCATTAGTAAGGGTTTGTGACTGGTTAGCTTCCACTCTCACTTTTCTGTTCATGTATAATGGTCTTTATTTTGAAAAGTAAAAATAAGACTTTTCCATTTCAATACATGACTTTCATTGATTCTCACTTCGCTTGTTGCCACAGAAAATCAGCTATAAATCTTATGGACATTTCTTTTTAGGTGATCATTTAAGAACTACTTGTAAGACTTTCTTTGCCCTTGTTAGTTTGAAGCTTGACTACTATGTTCCTAGGAGTGGCTTTATGATATCACGCCTTCCTTTCTTCCAGCTTACTTGTTTACATTTTTATCCTCCTTGGGATTCGCTGTGTTACTTACACTTGAAAATGAATGTCTTTTGACAATTCTGGAAAACTACCAGAAATGCTCTACCCACTAATTGCTTTTATTTACTTTAGTGTCTCCTTCTTCTCCTCTTCATCCTTATTATCTTTCTCCTCCTTTTTTCATTATGTCTCCTTCTCCTTTTTTTCTCCTTTTTGTCAAGACAAAGTTTCACTGAGGGCTGGCCAAATAGCTCAGCGGATTAAAGTGCCTGCAAGCAGGCACAGGGGCCGGGGGTTCAATCCTGGGGCCTGCTGTGCCGGCCCTGTCCCTGGGGCTGAGATGGTAACTGAGACTGGGTGTGGTGGTGAATGCCTGTAATCCTAGCTCTTGGGAGGCTGTAAACAGGTGGGTCACTACGAGTCCAATCTAGTAGTGAGACCCTGAACATCCTGTAGACCCTTCCCTAAAAATACACACACACACACACACCAAAACAAAAAAAAAGTTCCACTTTGTAATTCAAGCTGGCCTTAAGTTCACTAAATAACCCAGTGTGGCCTTGAATTTATGGCGATCCTCCTGCCTCAGCCTCTTGAGTGCTCAGATTACAAACATGTATCACCATGCCCATCTATTTTCTGATCAAATATACGCTGAATCTTCCCATTCATTCTCCATGTCTCTTATTTTCAATTTATTCCTCCTTTTAGATCTTTCTGTGACATATCCTGGTGTATTAGTTTCCTGAGGAGTATGTCAGAAAGTACAAAGATGGGATATCTTCAACAGGAGAACTTAACTGTTTTACAGTTAAACTAAGGAACCCCACATACATTGTGCAGGCTACCAAAACTGAGTGTGGTGGCACATGCTTATAATCCCAAAAACTGGGGAGGCTGAGACAGTAGAATCACACTATGAGTCTGAGCTTCATAGTGAGACTCTGTATCAAATATATATACATACATACACACAATTGCCTTTCTGTAAAGAACACAGGCATTTCTGTGTGCCTTCCTTTCCTATGTGGCCTCTGAACTATGCCCTTCATGTGTAGCTTTTGTCACTGGCTACTCCCTGCTCCCTCACCACACCTGCCCATATTTAAGCGGGAGGATGCCTGAGAGTTCAGTGATCACACAGCCTGAGGATGCTCCATTCCTGGCCTCCATTTCCTGCCATTTTTGTAGACTCACCAACTTACTTAAAAGTATGGCATTCACAGGGTAGCTAGCCTTCTTGCCAGCATTTTCAGTGAGAATGTTTAAAACCCCTTGGCCTGCCAGCTGGGCAAAAACTCCCACTTTTCTTATCCATAAAATGGAGTTACAAATGTTTCCCTCTGGAGTTGAGATTGTGTGTCTAAAGCATCCAGCAAGGAGGCTGATATAACCTGAGTCTTCAATAAGCGGTAGTGTCATTAGCGAAGTAGAGAAGAAGAGAAAGCAAAGAAGCAGCCTGAAAACATACATGCTGGCCATTTCCCCAGACTTCAGAATCCCAGGGGTGATTCCTTAGAGAAATTAAGATTAGCCCATTCTGTGATGCCAACACAGATGATCCCCGCAATACCTCCCCAGAGTCTCTTCCTGGTGCAGATGGTGAACCCAGAAGGCATTTCTCTGCTTGCCTTTCTTCTTCACATTCAGGTAGTCACCCAAATACACAGCTGTTTCCTGGGCTGTCCACAGTTCAGACTTTTTGGAGTATTTTAACAGAAGAGCATCTGGAAAAAAGATACGGTGAAAACGAGTCATTTTCTTTTCTTTTTCTTCTCTCTCTCTCTCTCTCTCTCTCTCTCTCTCTCTCTCTTCTCTCTCCCTTCCCCCAGGGATCAAACTCAGGACCTTGTTTGATCCCTGGTAAAAACACAAAGTGATGCAAGGCTGCCTTATCCATACTTCATGTCTTTATCCCTGTGTTCCTTTCTGTTGCCTAAGGTTGTTATGCTCTTTGGACTTGTTTTGCTTGCGCCCCATCATGCCCATAATCCCTTAAAAATATATTAAATCCATAGGCTGGGGAGATAGCTCTGCAGCCTAAGCTCCTGTTTAGTAAGAGCAAGGACTGGGGTTTGATTCCCCATACTATGTGTCCTGTGGGTTCCAGAACCCATGCCAGCCAACGAAACTGGGTGTGGTGGTACACACCTGTAATCCCAGCACTGGGGAGGCTGAGACAGGAGGATTGCTATGAGTCTGAGCTGTGTAGTGAGACCCTGTACCAAACATATAAATAGATAAAAAATTAAAAGAAAAAATAAACGGAGTCCAAAGTCTAACCTAGTGGATAAGGGCAGAGACCTGAGTTCATGAAGAAACAGAATCAAGGGGTTCAGAAAATGATTTTGGCCAAACACCTTATACCACCTAAGTCACAGGGCACCTCCGAGAACACACGCAGCCCCAGCCCACACTGCACCACCCTGATCTGACTGTGACTCCCTGAAGTCTTCCCACCAACCTGTCCAAGCCTCTCCTGTGATGAGAGTCAGTGGCCCTGCCCTGCCAGGGAAGGGTTGATGTCTCTTTGGAGGACCTCTTCACCACCTGATAACAGTGAGGAGACCCTGTTGCCATAGCACTCGGATTTTCACAGTAACAATCTGATCTGCATTTTGCTCTGACATCTCCGTGGCAGACAAGACCTGGAGGACTCTGAAGCAGAAATTCTCAACCTTGGCCTAGGGAGTGGCTGGAAGTTCTTACGGAGTCCCACGTGCGGGATCTCACCCAGGGTCTGCTCTATGTGGACATCTCGGTGAGCGCAGAAGTTCTGCAAAACTCTCGGGGCTCTCGAATGGTGCCAGGGTTAAGAACCATTTGACATGCACTCTGTAGTAGCTTGTCACTCGTGAAGTAAAGCTTCTGAGTATTGGGAGGGCGTTGTGATGCCATTCTCTGGATTGAAAGAGGAAGTTTCTGCCTTTCAGTGCCTCAACTATGTGAATACTTTTTATAGCAGTGTGGTGTATTGCATCTCAAAGAGCTCCACCACTGAGCTATACCTCCAGCCCTCTTTACTGTTTATTTTGAGACAGGGTCTCCCTAAATTATTGACTGGCCTTGAATTTTTCTATCCTCCTGCCTCAGTCTCCTGAGTAGCTGGGACTGCAGTCAGGGGTCACCACATCTGGTTCCTTCCACCACTTTTACACTGATCTAGTTGTCCCTCCCTCCCTCCCTCCCTCCCTCCCTCCCTCTTTCCCTTCCTCCCTTCTTTTTTCCCCTTCTTTGTTAATTGGGGGGTTGAATCCAGGGTTTTTGTACTGAACTATAACCTCAGTTCTTGATTTTTTTTTTTTTTTTTTTTTTGTCAGAACTGGGGATTGAACATTGAACTCAGGCCCTTGCACTTGCCAGGGAAGCGCTTATTCTACTGAGCCATCTCCCTGGCCCTATCCCCAGTTCTTTAAAAAAAAAAAAAAAGTTTCAAGACAAGGTCTCACTAACTCATTAAGTTGCCCAGGCTGGCCTTGAACTTGCAATCCTTCTGCCTCAGTCTCTCAGAGTGCATCTGCGTGTTTGGCTGGCCCGTGCATCCTGATAGGAAACCTCGGCTATGGAAGATAGCACGTGTCTTTCCTTTTTGCAGCTATTAAGGTTCCTCCCAGGAAGGGAGAGGGAGACTCCTGGAGGGGATCTTTCTCTGTGAACTCACAGACCTCACCAAACATAATGCATACTCATGAGTTCCAAGTGGTCTACACAGTGAACCCCGCCCTGGGCTGTGACTGTAGACGCTCACTGTACGCTCTGTGCAACTGGTTGGGCTTGAACACGCCTGTGTGCTCCAGCCTCTGCAGCAGCCAGCCGTGGCCCACGCCAGCGAGCAGCTTCTCCAGGTCAGCAGGTGTCAGTGTGCGCGCCTCCAGGACCTCCTGCTGCACTACCCCTGGCCAGGTTGCCACTGAGCTTCTGCTGGAATTTAGGAAGGACCATGAGCTCTCGCCCTCAGAGGAGCCGCTGGAGAAGGCAGGTGACTTCAGCCACCACCTTGGGGAGGAGCCCGAGCTCTGGCTGTAGCTGAGCATGCATCCTGGTGGGTCTCCTTCCTCCGTGGTGGCACAGTCTTCGTTGAGGACAGGGAAGGGGCTGCTATCACCTGCGGGGCTGCCAGGGGTCCCTGTCTTCTGCCCTGGGGGCTGCCTCAGTGTGCCTGGTGTGCCAGGGCCAGGCCCAGCTGTGGAGGGGACACAGGCACTGCCAAGCAGATGGCCCCCTTCGTCCTCTGTGGGGGCATCGGGATCGATGCCCAGCTCCTCCAAAGAGCCTCTGGTCTCAGGGGAGTCAGGCTGCTGAACTGGATAAAGAGGAGGGAAAGAGCCGCACCCTAGCCTGGCACTGTTGCCCAGTGCACCACCCCGCCTGGGATGACTATCCAAGGGCCCTTCTTGGGTGCTTTCCACCGTCTCTCCTTCGGGGTCCACCCATGTGTAGACATCTTTACATGTACGGACTTCTTTTTCTGTCTCTGTCCCAAGCCTGGCTGGGCCATCACAACTGGTTTCTGCAAAATCTAGGCTTTCAAAGACGTTGTCTTCTTTCATGCAATCCCACGCAGCTGTGTCTCCATGCAGAACAGAATCACAAGCCTGAGAAACGAGAGAGAGTGTGGTGGGAGCAGGAGTATTTCGGGTTCCCACATGTCTGACTTTGCGGGTGTCCCCCAGAGCCCCTGACAGCCTGGCCACGGGGCCCACACAGGTGTCGGAAGTGCTGTGGGGAGTGCAGGCTCTGGAGGACAGGTGTCTGTGTGGGCGACTTGGGGAGGGCTCTTCATCATCCCCCCTGGGCGCCTGGAGAGAGAGACCACAGAAGTCTGAAGACACCAAGTGCATGACTCTGCTGTCCCCACCCCTCTCGGGCTCCTCACGTGAGGCTGTGGGACACTGACTGTCTACGAGGTTCTCCACTGGCTCCCCAGGGTTTTCCACTTCTTCCCAGCTGGCAGAAGAACTCAGACCCGACAGCTGGCTCCAGGAACCCGAGCTCCCGCTGCTGTTCACGGGCGTGTTCCAAACCTCGTGTCCGCTGCCCTGCACAGGTGGCTCCGGCTCAGTTTCCCCGTCTTGATCCAGGGAGACTCGAAATGCTTCCGAGTGGGCCCAGTTCCTCCTCTCCGCCCTTCCGAGTTTCTCTATCCCGGAGGAGGGTGTCCTGCGCTGGGGCGAGCCTGGTTCATCCTCCATGGCGCTCACCGTATCCAGGGATTTGGTTTCAGTTTTTAAGGCAGTGATGCAGAGTTCTTTGGTGGCATTTTTCTCTTTATTCTTACTCTGTCCACATGTGCTTTCAAAAACCTCGCACACCGAGGCGTGGTGCTGTGAGTAGCCTTGGAGGATCTGTTGGAAATCTGCTTGTCCATGCAAGACAGGCTTACCCAAGCCGCACTCGAAACTCTCTGGAACATAAGACCTGTTGTCCGAATTGGCAAAGCTCTGGACCTGTAGGCGACGCTTCACATGGCTGACTGCAGACAGGATTTCCCGGGACAGAGCCTCTCTGTCTTGGCTTTCGGAGGAAGAGCTGAACATATATAGTGTCCCCATAGCTTGCACACAGAGCTGTCTGGCCTCACGCACCATGTCTGTGTCCCCGTGGAGTCTCCGGTGCACGGTGGCCAGGCCGAAGGCCGCTTTGATCAGGCTGTGGAGTTCCTGCTTCCCACAGACCGGCTCGTCCTCTTTCTTGGTCAGGAGGCCGATCTCGAAGGCCTCTTGGGCTGCACACAGACAGGAGCCTTTCTGACCTCGTGGGCAGGCACTGGAGCTGCTATAGGCCAGCAAGCACGTGCCACGGATGTTCTGGGGAAACAGCAAGACGAGCATCAGCTGTGGAAATGGATTGGGAAGCAAGCCACACACACTTTTAATGTAAATGAAGATTAGAATCCTTAATTAGAACCACTTAAAATATTGTAGGAAAATAAACACGTGCTCAGATATTCTAAAGAAAGCACACCACTGTATAAAGGACCTGAGGTATTTCTGGGTATCAGATGAGACTGGGATGTGAGCAATTGGCTGATACACGAGTAAGAGAGGGGATTCGGCTGAATGTGGTGAGACATGCTTGTAATCCTGGCACTCAGAAGGCTGGGGCAGGAGGATCACAGAGAGTTCCAGACCAGCCTGGACCACAGAGTGAATTTAAGTGAGTTAAGCCTAAACTATGTAGCGAGATCCTAGCTCAAAAAAGAGCAATGAGCTTCTACTCCCACCCTAGGTGGCCCTGCGGCTTTCTCATGGGGGATGGTAGGTCTCTGGTCACTGCTGGTGCTAGTATCGGCAAAGGCTGTATGGGGTTTAGACACAAGAAGACTCTGAGGTGGGGCTGCCGTTCACAAACACAGCACTTATTTACTAACAGCAGAGTGAGAGTGGTGGCTCTGAGACCCCCTGAGGACCTAAGTCCCCAGGTGACAGTCACCCCTCACTGCCTCAGGAGGGGCTTCTGGGAACCCCACAGGTACCCACATCTGGGGTCCCTTATGCACAGCGGGGTGGCCTCGCATCACCTCTTCTTTCCATTGGTTCTGAGGCCAAGGTCCGGGAGCTCCTCTTACCATGGCTGTGAGCACGAACAGGGGTGTGTAGGCACTGAAGGCCGCTGCCAGCTTGCAGGCTTCTGCTGCCGACAGCAGCCGGTGGTTGAACTCCTTGAGCAAGACCTGGGGAGACCAGGAAGCAGAGGGGGTGGCGATTAGGATTCATGTATTAGCAGGGGGTGACTCCTTTCTTTTCTTCTAATTTTCTCTTAGTATTGCAAACCTTTCCGAACAGGACCACAGCCAAGAAAGGCCAGGACTGTGCTCCTCGCACCTCTCGCCTCCCCTGGCACCCCAGCAGGCTGGGTGGGTGCATGAAGAGTTGAGGGTTCTCAGGGAAGTGGGCAGCACTTCCCTGATGGGATCCCTGATGGCTTTGCCCCCAAATTATGTGGCTTCTGCACTGTTGTGGGCAAGGGGCTCTTCCTTTCTTTCCTTCTTTCTTTCTTTTTAATTTATGAGAAAATATTTTATAATCAAATAAAAAGAGAATAACAATAATTGCTACACTGTGCATCATTATCCTCAAAGTAGCTACTCAGTGCACAACATAAACCCAAAAGATTCTTACAAAAAAAGAAGCAGGTAACTACACAAACTTCTCTTTCAACGAACTAAATTAAAATTTTAGTGTTAATGAAACGAATCAGCATACACACCAAATACTTTTAAGACAAGGAATATGCAGTTTGGGGGAAGAGTGTGAACTCCTCCCCCTTCCCCTTTATCCCTCTTCCATCTTGCTGCATAATGTTTGTTTATTTATTTATTTATTTATTTATTTTCTTTTTTTTTTTTTTTTCCGGTACCAGGGATTGAACTCAGGACTTTGAGTTTGCCAGGCAAGCACTTATTCCACTGAACTATCTCTCTGGCCCTCTTGCTGCATAATGTTTAGAGCAGTGAGGTCTTAGAAGCAGTGCACTGTCCTCAACAGGTGGGTGGGTGAGGGGCCCTTTGTGGCCTCACAGCACCGAGGACTCCGCCATTCACCCTTGAAGTGGGCACTGAGCGCCTCTTCCAGCCAGCCACTGCTCAGAGCTGCAGGGAGCTTCCTTTCTGTGGGGGAGGGATTGGTCAGCACAGGCCATCAGCAACACTTGAGGGGGGGGTCAGTGCTCTGAGAAGAAAATGAAGCCGAGAAAGTATAAGGGAGGTCTAGAATGGGAAGGTAGTTTGGAATTTTATTTTATTTTTTTGCTTGTTTTTAAAATTTATTTGGTACAGGGTCTTGCTATGCAGCTCAGACTTGTCTCAGCCTTCCCAGTGCTGGGATTACAGGTGTGCACCACAGTTTTGGCAGCTGGCTTGGTGTGGGGCCAGCACGGCATGTGGTACCAGGGATCGAATCCAGGTCCTTGTGCTTGCTAGGCAGGTACTTAAACTGCCAAGCTATCTCCCAGGCCCTATTTGCATATTTTGAGGCAGGGTCTTGCTCTATATTTTAGGCTGGCCTGGAGCTTGCTGTGATACTCCAGCCTCCTGAGTGCTGTGTAGTGTGCAGTTTTAACCAGTCACCTGGGATAACTGCAGCGGAAATGGCCATACCTTTTTCAACTTTGATATGATAGAAAAAACGTTTTCCTGAGATTCATATTGTAGGCAGCAAGCTGCATTCCCTTATACTGACTTACTCTAATTGAGTATGGTCACCATGGTTCACTTTGGTTATCTAGCAAGCTGGCCATATGGATGATAACATTAAAAATCTCCATTTTAATGCAACTGGAGAAATTCAAGGTCAGCATCAGTGCTCTGAGTTCTCAGAGGCCAGGCTCTGACCCAGATCCCTCATACTGGTTGTGAGAGCTGCAGACATTACTCAGTCTCTCTGGGCCTCGGTTACTTTTCCCTCCACTTTACCTGTGTGTCCTGGCGTTTCTGTGGAGATACACACATTTTCTGAGTTGTCAGGTAATATATAAGTATTAGTAAGTATTTATTTATTTATTTTTGCATTTACTTCAGGGTCTACAGAGTCGACAGGGTCTCATGAGGTAGATTGCACTCGTCGTGATCCACCAGTTTTCAGCCTCCCAAGAGCTGGGATTACAGGCGCGCGCCACCACACCCAGTCTCAATTGGTGTCTCAGCATGCCCTGGGGTTGAGGCTGGCGCTGCATGCCGGGGATTGAACCCCAGCCACTGCATCTGCCTAAGCAGGTGCTTTAATCCGCTAAGCTATTTGGCCGGTCCTTAATTATTAAAGATAAGAGCCCGAAAAAATTACTAATATGGTGATTTGAACAGATAATGATGAATTGTAAAACTATCGCCCTTTTATTACTAAGATGGTCCAAGTTTGGAAACTGAATTTTGTGAAGACTCGAAAGGAAATAAATGGGTCTCAAAATGGCTTTGCTGATATTTGTTCATTTATTCCCTAGAGCTTTTCTGTCAACCACTTCGCGGCTCTGGGCTAGGTGCTGGGTGACACAGTTGCGCAGGAGTGGCTCTGCCCCTTACTGACCCGGGACGGCAGACTTCACCCTGCCCAAGCTCTGGGAACAGAGCTGACCACGTGATACCACCTGGAGAATGGCCCTGGCAGAGTCAAGGGGTGCTGCTCTGTACCGTGCTTTAGACAGGTGACAATTACCAAGTTAATCCGTGGGTTGTTTTTAAATTTTTCGTAATCGTTCTCACTCATGGAAACAAAGATGTCAGCCAGAATCCCTAGTGATGTGGAGATGCCCTGAAAGGAAGACACAACAGGTCAGACTGGGGGTGCGGGGCTGCTGAGAGCTCTGGCTTGGTCTGTAGGTGATGGTGATTTCTCCATGCACCATTTGCCACCTTTCGTGTTACTATTCTGACTGCAACACTGGGTATGCTTTTGAACCAGATGTCACTGAGGAAGAAAGCGTATCACATCAGACCCATCCAGGGACCAACCATAAACACAGCTATTCCTCTATCAGACTAAACCTGTTTACCACGCTAGGCCCCAATCATTGGCCCAGGAAAGAGATCTCACACGATGTTCTGTGGTGTAAAAGCATGGTAGCTGGAAGCTCCAGGAAACAGAATGAATAAACTGGGCTTCAGATATTGGGAGAATATTTCTACAAATCACACAGAATGAAAATGCAAAGTCAACAAGCAAAGCATGCACCTCACTCTGTTTTTTTGAGAGAGGGTCTCACCATGTAGTTCAGGCTATTCCATTGTATAGTGGTTAGCACTCTGGACTCTAGATCAGGCTAGGCTTGAGCTCACTATGTAACCTAGGCTGGCCTCAAACTTGCCTCAATTCTCCTGTCTCAGCCTCCCAAGTGCTGAGATTATAGGCATGCACCACCACACCCAGCTATCAATTTCTTAAAGATGCAACATAAACAAATAATTGAAGTCTTTCCTTGCTCAAGGCAACTGATTATACATGTAAACAACTTGTTCACCTGAACTCCTCTAGGGAATCAGATGAAGGCTAAACATATAATAAAACAGAGGCACAGACCAGAAGAGATAAATACGTAAATAGTTACAAGTGATTAGAGCTACACTAAATCTATGACAACAGGCTGACAGAGGAAGGACGAGAGCCAGACAGAGAAGGAAGCCACGACACTTTCCTGGTCTTATAATCATACATAACGTAGACAGAGAAGAGGGAATTGACAAGCAGTGGACTGAACTGTGCCATGCAAAGACAAACAATAGAAAGGGGAAAAAGAAGCACTAGACAAGCAACCTTTTTATCTGGCTGAGGAAGCGTCAAATATCCAACGATGGAGGCCCATGTTAACTCTGCGGCTTCGTACCACATGCCTGGAATGGGAGAGATGCAGGGATAGACCAGTGCTCTTGGTTTATTTATGTATGAATGTATGTATGTATGTATGTATGTATGTATGTATGTATGTACTTGGAATTGAACTCAGGACCTTGCACTTGCCAGGCAGGTGCTGCGCCGCTGAACTACAGCCCTGGCCCATGCTCCTGGTTAGAAACGCCTGTGAGTGGTCAGGGGGAATTCCCTGGATCCTGTTAGAAAAACTCAGAGCTACATTAGACCAACATCGCAACTGTTTTTCCAGTTCATTTAATGTAGATAATGTTCTTTATTTCACTGGGGAACAGTAACGGTGTTGCATTTTTTTATACATTCTGTATGTTGTATAGTTTCCCCCATGATTTATGAGGATACTACTTATCATCTTCACTGAGCATTTTTTTCCAACTTGAGGACTGGGGATACAGCGTTAGCACACTGGAGTCCTAAATTCAATACCAGCTCCATAAAAAACACATAAACCTCTTAGTTTGTACTTTAAAGCACAGAGTTTCTAAACTTTGCTTGAAAAATACATGATTACCACTAAATATGGATGCCTGAGGCATTTGGATGGATTTGGATCACAGTGCTACCATATCATCCAAAATTCTTCTTAACTGGGTCAGAAGCAGGAGCTAATACTGAGAATACTATGCTTAACAGCACCAATAAGCAACTGTAAATTTTTCTACCAAAATCCCATAGAAAAACATTTTGTTTAGTAATATCCATGATATACCTGCCATTCTTTTGTTGGTTTAAGACAGGGTTTGACTACACAGTTCAGGCTGGCCTTGAACTCACTTTGTAGCCTAGGCTGGCCTCGAATTCACAATGATCCTCCTGCCTCAGCCTCCCAAGTTCTAGGATGCTATCATTCTTGCTTTTTTTTTTGTTGTTTGTTTTGTTTTGTTTTGTTTTTGTTTTAAAGCCAATGTCTCCCAGTGCTGCCCAGGCTGGCCTTGAACTCCTGTGTTCTAGTAATCCTCCTGCCTCAGCCTCTCAAGTAGTGGGACCACAGGCAGGCACCACCACACCTAGTTTGGCTCCTGGGATCTTAAACTTCATTTTTTCAAGGAGGAGACACTAAAAGAAGTGAGGATCAATAGTTTTGCCAGAAACAATAAGAACATTTCACAGAAAATCTTGTGGTTTGCAAAGACGAGAGTGGTATGAATACCGAGCTTTTGCAGAATTTGCCCTCGGATCTGGATGCAGACCGACTGCACCAGGACCTTGTCACTTTCCTTTCTGTAGAGCCAGGTGCCTAAAACAAAGAAAGGAAAGCACTGTCACTTGGAGTTCCTAGGGGAATGGCCTGGCAAAGAACTTATTTTTATAGACATCTTTAGCAGCACATGGGACTTGGATGCAAGAGGCGATCACATTTCTATACTTATTATTATTTTTTAACCCTCTATTTATTTATTTGGTACAGGGTCTCACTATGCAGCTCAGACTCACAGTGATTCTCCTGTCTCAACCTCACCAGTGCTGGGATGACAGGTGTGGCTGGCTCGGCAAACCCGGGTTTCTGGAGCCAGCACGCATGCAATACGGGGATCAAACCTGGGTCCTTGCACTTGCCAGGCATGCGCTTAGACCTCTGAGCTATCTCCCCAGCCCCGCATCTCTGTACTTAGAGTCAGGTCCCGACCCGGAGGCCCCCGTGCCCTCCTGTGCCTCACCGAGCAGTGTAGTGCCCCTATTGGGCCTTCTCCTTGGCCTCATCCTGCCCAACCAGCTGCAACATGGCAGCCTCCTGGGCCTTCCTGGGCCCCTGTCCCTGTAGCCCCTGCCTCAGGGCTGCCCCATGGAGGATCAAGCCCCCCTCCTCATTGGTTTGGATACCAAATTGGTGACCTTGCACACAAACCGAGAGGGCAGGAGAGGGTCCACTACTCACAGGAGTCTGCACTCAAGCAGGGTCCTGACCCTCAGCAATGTGAGTGGGGGCTGTGTGATTATGGTGTCTCATGGGGCGAAAGTGCTGGCAAGTTAGGATAAGGTTTATGCCGGCAGGCTCTAAAGAGAAATAAACCTGTCCAGTGTAGGGCAAAAAGGGCAGGAGGAGGACACAACCTGAAAGGTAGACTCTATCACCGTCCCTGCATTCTCTTCTGTCACTCTGTACTGTTTTTTCCTGCTTTTCATTGTACATGTTGTATATGAGTGTGTACAGGGTGTAGAAGGTGGCAAGTGTGCATACAAGGTGTGATAAAAATACCATGTACTTTAAAATTTTTCTTTTTTGTATCTTTTCAGGGAAGGGTCTACAGGGTATTCAGGGTCTCACTACTAGATCGGACTCATAGTGATCTGCCTGTTTACAGCCTCCCAAGAGCTGGGATTACAGGCGTGTGCCATCACACCCAGTCTCAATTGCCATCTCAGTGCACCCTGGGGGTGGGGTCAGTATGGCAGGCCCAGGGATTGAACCCCCAGCCGCTATGCCTGCTTGCAGGTGCTTTAATCAGCTGAGCTATTTGGCCTGTCCTTGTACATTTAAATTTTTAAACACTTTATTACAGTAAAAGACATGTTGCCATGAATCCTGTGTTTTTAGTTGTGCAGTTACAGCTGCCTCAACATCTTGAGTCTATTCATTGTTTCCTTTTCATGGTCATTTTGGTTTTGGGAATAGCAGAAGTCCCACAGTGCCAGATCCAGTGAACCAGGTGGGTGAGGGCACTGACATGTTCTATAAGCCTCCTTTCCAGCAGTAGTGTTCACTGTGTTTGATCAGATTTCTTAAGGATGCTCATGTGAGAAGACTCCCAGAGCTGCTTCAGGAAGTGGCAGAACCATGGGACAGGGGTGTCTGAAGCAAGGGGGAGGACTCTGAGGGGAATTAATTCATGGTAATGTGTCTTTTACTGTCAGAACGTTTTTTGTGTGTGGTGCTGGGGACCAAACTTGGGACCTTGCACTTGCCAGGCAGGTGCTTATGCTGCTGAGCTATATTCCTGGCTATTGTCATATCTTTTAAAAATTTAAACCTTCCCTGCATTTTTAGTCACCTCTTGGGTAGAAGCCTAGCAAGCAACAGAGGCCATGAATGAGGGTGTGCAGCTGATGTCCACATTCCATACTCGCCTTGCGGGGGTGCCCACAAGTTTCGAGGGGCTTGGAACCTTCTTCCCTAGCATTGAGATCAAAGTCCCCTGCAAACTGTGCTCAACATTTGGAAAATGTGTTGACTTAAATGCTCAGAAAGTCCAACAAGGTATCTGAAGGTTTAAGTGATCTTCTTCATTGTACCTGCTTCCATTACTGTCTGTTGGGGAATGCTGAGTGAGTGCAGAGAAGTCCTGAGTGCCTTGCTTCTGTGTTGTTTTTGGAGTCAGAGAAAACAGAAACCAAAATATGACGCTCAACCAAGTCACTCATCCATCTGCCAGAATGTGTCTCTGGCCTCACTGGGACAACTGCTACACACAGAAGATTAGTGTGCTGCATCACCAGGAGACCAGGCCTGTGGAGACACAGCCAGCCACACAGTCAGGCCCCGAGCCACTGACCTGTTGCTCCACTGTTGCTGATGAGGCTGCTCAGGATGTACTCTGCTTTCAGGAGCTTCCCTGCAAAGACAATCGAGGGCCGCACAGTTAGCTCGGTGAGCACTGTATCACCACAGGAATGGTGACCTCTTTTGGAAATGTTTCTATTTTAAAATTTAAAATCAGTAACCGTGGGGTTGGGGAGATGGCTCAGTAGAATAAGCACTTGCCTGGCAAGTGCAAGGGCCTGAGTTCAGCCCCTTGTCCCACCAAAAAACCAACCAACCAAACAAAAAAACCTCAAAAAAACCCAGTAGCTATGTTCTATGAAACTAGAAAAGAAAGAGGAGGTTTCCTGGAGGTGCTGAGTGGGGAGTTATTGAGTATCTGAAATAGCAACAAGACTCATGTGTGTAGGCATGTGTATGCACACATGTGTATACGTATAGTTCATGTGTGACAATCACTCTTGTGGAGCTGGGCTTGAGTAGCAGATGCACAATTCTGTAAAAGGCAGTGTCTCCTGTCTGTGAAAACTATACCTCTAGCAGAGTTGTCCACAAGTAGGACAGCATGTGCACAGAATCATGAGAAAGGGATGGGGCTGGGGGGCAGAGCCTGGGGTTTTGGAAAGCTGTTTACTTGCTGTGGCTGCCACCCTGTGGGGAGAGTCCTGTTCATGGACAGCTGTTGTGTGCACAATCGATGAACTCCAGCGTTTGTTCTTCTAAACTATCCGTTCTTCCTTGAGCCTCAGAGCCCAAATGACCTGGATCCTGTGTGGCTTGTTGGGCCTCATCTCTGTGTGTCCTCTCTCCCCCACTCCCTCTACTTCAGTCACAGTGGCCTCCTTTACTGTTGCTGAGGCCGCCACCTTGTTTTCATTTCCTGGCCTTCATCCTTACCCTTATCTTGGTCTGGAATGTCTGAATAGCATTGTACCAACTGTCAGTGCGGTGGCTGATGGTGTCAACGTGACTGGACTGAGGGACGCCTAGAAGTGGGAACACTCATTTTGGGGTGTTCTGGGAGGCGGTTCTGGAGACCAGAATGTGTGTTCCACTCAGCTTTCAGGGACTTGGGCACATGATTGCCAGGACACAGGCTCTGCATTGTGCTAAGTATTAGGTTACCCTAGTGTTCCAGACACACCGTCAAGGACACTTGAGAGAAGACATTTTTGGAAGTCCAACTCCCCTGTGTCACTCTAGCAAAGTCCACAATAAGATAGGGAAGTAATTTCTGCACAGTTGTGAGAACTTGAAAGTAAGTGAGATTGGGTTTGAAAAGGTAACCTCCTGGGCCCATTTCTTCATGTCCTTTTATCTCCGTCCCTTCTGCTTTTGACAGTTGTCCCACTTACTATAATCACAACATTCCTTTTCAAAGGAAACAAAATAAAGAGATTTTAACCTCTTCCAGACTGGAGTTATGATGACATTAGCAGGAGCTACCACCTATCAGAGGCTTCTCTACAACTGCCTTTCTTTTGGGTTAAGCCTCCCGCTCTCTGCACTGTAAGCCCGCTTTATGGTCACGGGTAATTAAATAATTCCCGATAACGTACAGCAGGCCTGCTCCCTCCGGCCCGCACCCCATCAGAAGCCAGCCTCCTTTCTCACCCCATTCAAAGTGACAGGGGGAGAAAAGACGCTCTAGGGTCTAATCAGGTACTGCACCGGTGTCCTGAGTGATGGAAACTCGCACCGCGTCAGTGGGGCTGTCAGCACCATTGTCAGCCTAGTCAAGTGGCCCTGCAAAAAGGAGCCAGGGGGCGGGGAGAAAATAGTCGAATTCTAATCTGCTTTTTAAAGGCTTTTGGTCAGAAGTATAGCAATTCAGATACCCCTGTTTGGAAGCAGCGGGACAGATTTGTTAGAAGACAAAGGCTCCAATTAGTATTTTCCACACCCTTTCACAATTTTCTCTACTGCTTTTGGCTCTGAAACCCTTTATACCAGCGCTTTTGTGCTGGCAGCGAGGCGGGTGGAAGGGTGAGGGGTGGGCACGGAAGGGTGGCACGCGGGGCCTGGCGCCCGCGGCTTTGGGGGTCAAGTGCTCTGGCGAGGGGCCTTGGGGGACTGGAGGAGGGGACCGGAGGAGGGGACCCGGCAGCACCCACCTGCGTTGGCCGAGACCCGCGCCTGGCGGATCACCACCTGCGGCGCGATGGGCGTGCTGGGCTGCAGGCGGTGCAGGCCGCGCGCCACCCGCAGGAGGCTGCCCGCGCCGTCGAGCCCATAGAGCACGCGGTCCAGCAGGAAGACGACAGCTGCGGCAACCGCGCAGTCCCGCGTCCGGATGGAGGCGCGCAGGGCCATCTGGAGACAAAGCACAGGGAGGCAAGGACTTAGCGTGCGGTGGGGAGAACAGGGTGGGCTTGCACCTCTCCCTCCGGGGCGGAGGCTCCTTGAGGGGTAGGTGCGAGGCTCCTGCCTTGTCACTAAGGGACTCTTCAGAATTGTTGCTTACTGGAACCTACAGCGATACAGTCCCTGGTCTTCGCAGCGCCTTCAGCATTTTATGTCCCCAAGAAACCTAGGTCTTAATGGCCTGGTCCCCATAGTGACCCCAAAAAGGATGGTGGGGCCTCAGCCTCTTCTTTGCTTTCTGGCTGCCAGGTGGGCAGTTTTGCACCATCACGAATCCTAGCACATCTACAGACAAAGCAGTGGGCGCACCTCCTTTCTGACTGGCACCCCCAAAGCTGTTCACGAAGTCGGCCTTTCCTCCCCGCGACTGATTGTTCTCAGGTATCTCACTGCACTGATGGATGGATAAAGCATCGAACAAACCTCTGTGAAATTGGCCTACTCTTTCACATGGACCATCCTGGGAGTCTATGGCGTTTCCTTCCCTGATTTGACTTTTGGGATGTATATGCATGCACACATGTCATACGTCTGTCTGAACAGACCTATCTAATGATCCACAGCACCACATACAGAACATAACATTCAGATTTATGGTTGCTCATTGGGCAATGCCTGTCAGTCACCAGCACCGTCATCCTTTTTCAAATTGAAGATGGACTCATTAAGACTTTTAAACCACCAATGTGTTTATTAAGAACCGTGGTCACTTTCTCACCACAGACACGCAATGCCTGACACATACAATGGAAAGGACGGGTTTATTTAGAACTTCATCTCAGCCAGAGGGCTAAGAAATGACGACGAGGTTTATCTGGCTCATGGTTTAGTGCCTAGTTGGCAGGCTAGAGGCAGAAACAGCAAGGAGGAAAGGCCCTCCACACCTGGGAAGCAGCTCACAGCCTGGCGGCCAGGAAGCAGAGCAGGTGGGGAGGAGCTGGCAGGGGCTGTGCTCCTCAGGTTGCGCCTCTGGGACTGCCTCCTCCCCCAAGCCTCATCTGGACCATCTGGCAGGAAAGCACAGCGTCCTCCTGATGTACTCTTCCAGACCCACGAGGCTTGGAGGGAGTGACCATGTTAAGTGCGGAAAGTGGAACTCTTCAGTTGAATTTGGCTTGCTGTTCTAATCCAGTCACTTCCCTTTTTAATGACAGAGATGCTAGTTGTTGGCAGGAAGTCTCACCTGGGTCCTGTCAGCGCTGCCTTCTGGGCAGAGGAAGGCCAGCTGCTCTGGGCCTCTGGCCCTTCACACACTCTGTGCTTGGGAGGTGGCTAGTGTCTGTCAAGTTAGAAGCTGTGCTCCTCCCTTTGTTTCTCTTGGGAACAAGCTGTAAAGGAGACAGGGATTCTTTTCTGCTCTAAGTCTTACCTAGGAAGTGACCCTGTCTAGGGTGTTCTGGTGACGCAGTAATTACTGGGTGGAAGTCAACATAACTTGGAAAGTCACCTCGCCGATCTCCTTGTCCTAGTTTGAACTTTTATCATCCAATTCACTGTTTATTGGGGTTAAATATAACATTTAATTTCTTCTGTGTCTAACTTTTCTGTTTTACTTTTCAGTTTGCTCTTAGTCCAGGAAAGAAAGGGGTATTATTTACGGCATCTTCCAAACCCTCTACTATGACTCCTTGTCTTTCTACGTGTACCATAACCCACAAGTTGCTCAAAACTCTAAGTAGGAAAAGAAAATAAAAGTTGAGAAGTTGAAGGGACTTTCCAAAGTCACAAAATCAGGAAAGTCAGAGCCAGGTAGGCATTCTAGTCTCTTGGTCTCTCGGTCTCTCTCTCTCTCTCTCTCTCTCTCTCTCTCTCTCTCTCTCTCTCT